ACCGGGTAGTATCTTGAGCCCAGGCCTAAGTGTCGGACGAATGAGTTTATTCATAATTTATGTTATATCATTTCCGTATGATCAATGATCAGGCCTTTTCAACTTTCATGGGGCCTTACTAAAATTTACGTTGACGAAGCATGCTACAACTATGACCAGATAGCATCTTATTGGTTTAAACACTGGGCTTTAAACCAAATGGATGTCAAGTTTAACTTTCGTTTGCTCCATATAATTCGATTTCAACAACTGGTTGAAAGTTTACTGGGCCCTAACACATAAGATATGATGGGCTTGAAGTCAAGTACGTAGAGTTTTGCGTATTTGGTCGGGGAAGTTACATCACTCTACTGGAAGAAAATGAATAATGAAAATCGGCTTATTTTTGATCCACAATGTTTGGATCGGATTATTTCTACGTGTTTCCAAAAGGTTTACTAAGATTAACCTCATTTAGTAAGATGTGGCGTCATTACCACTAGAGGGAATAGCACTAATGTGTATTCATTCGGGTCGCTACATCTCCTCACATCAACGAAAGTAAAAATCATTAAAATGTGTTGCAAGTAGGCGAAATTAACTGCAAGCGCAATGAAAATCTTAACAAGAGGAATAAAATTCTAATGGAGTAAATGATATCGTTGAATGAAAAGTTAAGAACGACACAATTAGCATTTTAGGGAAAGTGGAGTAATACAACCCCGTTAGACAACGGTAACCAGCTCTGCTCTATGTTACTCATAGTTTGGATTGTATATATTGCGACTTAGATGGAGACTGAATTAGAGTTCTCAACATATTGGCTCAGAGACCTACATCCAGTTGTATCACAAACTGATGTTATGTGTTTATGTGACTGCCGTTTTTCCCAAGTTACTCCCAACCGGAGTATTGATCATTTGGTTTTGCAACCTTACAGTAGCAGTGTTTCGGTGATATTTCTGATTGAATATTTACCGCTAGTACATGTGTTTTATTTTGATCGGCCATATTTCATCATGGCCTTCGAATGATACAGATTGGATCCATGCTGGGTTACACCACACAGGCCAGTTAGATAAAGTATCGAAACTGTGGAACATGATGTGAATCACTTCAGACTATTTCGTGTCTGATTACGAAATCACATTCTCATATGTATAACTCACCCACTAACTATTGAGAGTAGTAGCATCTGATTGTTATCAGCTTGGAAACGGATTATTCCAGTTTAAGATGAGATGATTGGTTATTGTGTTAAGTATAGTAAGTATCCTTTACTTATCTATTCACTCTCGACTGACTCACACGCACATATTGAATGTGAAGTGTTTGAGGAGGGTGGATGTCGTTCACAAAGTATGCAGATAACATTGCTTCAATGCTTGTTGTTAGTTAATGAATGATCTCTGTATAAACAAACACACCAGTCTAAAGTTAATGTGGTGGATTACTGTCGACAAATTGTAACTAGTTCTTTTCTATCTTGAAAGAAACAAAATGAACACTTATATACTGCTAATCAAAGTAACACCATCTTATTGTATATATATATGTAAATATGTATATAATGTCATAGATGTTTGCATATAATCACATGCTTTCTCCCTGATTTAATTGCGAAATTGAATTTTTTCCTAGATGCACACACTACTTTGTTTGGTGAGAAAGCAGAAGAAACTACTACGACTACTACCACTGCTACTAGTAATAATGATAATCATAATAATAATGATAATGACAAAACAGTGTCTTCCACTGTTCCAGATTTTACTAAACAAACGATATTCATGCGTAAATATTTAGATTTAAGACATTTATTATATGAAGAACCTGGTCCCGCAGGTGAAGAATACATAGATGAGGTAAATTTGTTGGTGTTTGTGTATGTGTCTGACAATGTAATATTTATACACAAGCCCGTACACACAGCCATAAACTACGCTGTGTAGCAGCTTAAAGCTGAAGTTTGTGAGCTTTTATTGACGATGGCAATGTATGGTATAAAATGCCTGCCTAATCACTGGTATGCATACTGTTTTGTAAATAGTACTGTAATAGTACCAGTGTCTTGACGTATTACTCTTTTTGTGTGCACCGTATAATTTGGTAGATAATGTAATTATCTACCTTGTAAATGAATGCACGAAATTGAGTATTTCTGAATACAGAGTCTCATGTCTACTTAGCTCGAATGTGGGCACTGACCAACTGGTGATGCTTATTATCTAGACAAGTGTGAATCGGGATTTTCATACTTGACAATGAATGAAATTGCATTATTTAAAATGTTGAATGCACACGGTTCTGACACAATTGTTTAATGGATTTGAAGAAGTGCCCAGTTGGTTTACGAAAATTTGACCACTGAGTGAGTAGTGACGAATGTCATCTATGTGCTAGCGAGTTGAATTCTTTCTGTGAAATCGCACTGTGAGCGCTAGTCTAAATGAATCGACATCACATGCAGTATGTTGAGATGTGGAGTGGTGTTTGAAACTAATCGATAAGCAAACTGAGAACTATGTTTCGTGCTATTTATGATGTTTAAGCAATCTGTGATCTGTAATCTTGAATGGAATAATCGATACTCAATCAATTTTAAATACAGATCTTTTTCAGAACGCACATTAAGTAGCTGAACGGTAATATTTCAGATTATGAGATTGGATGATACGAGATCGAATGCAACGGTACTATGCATCGGCACCACATTTACACCTCGTTAACGAGTAGCACGAAATCTAGTTGCCGGCATTCCTATCGACTGCTTTCAACGTGAATAATAGAAAAGTTAATTTTTTTAGTTATCAATTTCTTTATTGACGAATCGAATGTGAGATCACCTTATTCAACATTATTCCACACAAACTAGAGTTCAAAACGTAAAGTTTTTGAAAACTAAATTCACGTAACTTACTCAATGTTTGTTGTTGTTGTTGTTGTGTATCGTTTCAAGTGAAAGACAATGTGAATCCGTTGTAATTGTTTGAAATAGCAGTGAATTGCTGTTTATTTTTGTCACAATTAAGACAAATTGTTTTTTCCTGGAGAGGCAGGCGTTTGACAAATTCGCGAAAACGTTTAAAAACTACAATTGAATTACAATTTCAGTAAATGTATTTAAAGTACTGACAACAATAGAGTGGGTGAGGTGATCTTAAGAATTTAAAGTAAAAATGAAGTCAGTCAGTGTAATCAATGAAATATTTGTGACACGAAAAACAATGAGCCTATTGAAGTTAATAATATTGTACTGAATTGGACTGAATTCATGGTATGAGCGATCCGAGAATTCGTCCACATATGTTTTAAATGATTCTACTTGTAAGCCGTGTGGCGTTATGAGCAGCCTAGCTTGAGCATTTTTTCGTATTGATTTATGAATCGATTAGTTGACGGTGATCACTGTACCTGTAAAGGTACCGTTGTAATCTGATCAACTATTTATCCGTATGATTGTCCCTCGTTGCACACATACTTTGTAATGATGTGGTAGTGCAGTGGAAGTTTTTCGCTTGCGAACGAACATATCGATAATGATGTTTTTGGTTACGTTGTATCCTATATGCCGAACACGTACTAGCAAGTTTAAACAAACTACCACCACTTACTCAATCTACTTTAGTACCTTGCACTACTCTTACCACTGTACACTGTCCTGCTTTAAGGATTACATCTGATAAAGCAGGATCAGTGGTAAGTGGCTGCTGTAAGAATTCATTCAGTCGCTAGGATCTGACGATCTGTTGAAGTTTTGGTTTTTCGAATAAACCAGAAAGGTACTGTTCTCGAACAAGCTTATTCAACCTGCATGTATTGCAGCGTTATATGGCTTCGTCCCCCTTATCTCTGTACCTTAACTGCTTTTTAGTTGGTATGCACAATCACATAAACTGATATCCTTTTGGATGATCTAATGCGCTTCACTGTTATGCCATCACTAAAATAAATCGAACGATGTTATTTAATGAACACATGCTTGCTTCAATTATACGCTATGACTTTGAAGAAGCCACTAACCGACAGTTCATTACTTATTACTCTGATGTAATGGTGAACTTTATCTCCGAATAAGTGTGTACAAACAAATATGTTCTATGTTTCAATGAAGTCTATTTAACTGAATAAATTCATAACTCATTCACAGTTTGTATATATTATACTATGTGGTTACTACTACTGGCTATATTCTACAATTGATTATAAACAAATGATCTAAAATATAGTTGTTTTCACTGAAGTTTCCAGTTCACTTATTTATTATCTAAAGGTCTATTTTCAAATGCACAATTACACTTTTTTTTTACCAACTAACCTACCAAGTACTTGATATATGTATATGGATTCTAGCTAGCTTGCTACATTGTTTCGACGAAACCCATTGGATATTGAAAGTGAACCAGTTGTTAGGCGCAACATTTGAACTTGTTGATATGTACAAGGAGAGCGAAATAGCTTAGTAAAACAGTTTGTACACTTCAATTTTGAGCAATAAATCACACTGATTTAAAATGCACACTGTACAGTACTAGTAAAGTACTTCAATTTCATCAACCAACTAGATAATATTCTAAGATTACTATTTCTCATTCCGTTAAAGTATCCACCTAAAAGTCTTGAGCATATACAATTACATATATACTTGCTGTGAACAACGTACATCAATTTCGATTATTTTGAGAAAACTGTTATAGTGTTCAACTTTTTAATCAAACTATTCACTGTTTGACTATGAAAATTAATATGGAAAAGTAATTCTATCATTATCATTGTGTATAGTATAGAGCAATTGTGATAGAGACACTCTTAACTAACCCACATCTTACCCTGAATTAGCATTGAACATTATCTGCTGTAGAATGTAGATTGTTTTACAGGCCTGTTTCTTGTTTTTTCGATTTATTTTCTACGAATAACTGTTCTTCTTGTTGTTTTTAATTTCTTTCTACAAAAAATCATAATTCATTATGATTTGACCAAAAAAACAATACCCCCCCCCACACACACACACACAACAGTTGGATCAAGCACCGATAAAAGAGAAGAAACCGTATTATTGTTCACTTTGTAACGCGAATTTATGTGGTGTGGACACTTTGGAGAATCATTTACACAGTGTTAGTCACCAAGAACAATATAAATCACGTGTTGATCCACAATGGACTATTCAAAAAGCAGTTGCATCATCATTGTCATTTGAAGATGCGATTTTCGATATGTGGAAAGCTTGTAAAGATAAACACAAAAGAGTTAGTGAATTATTTGTTTGTTGGTTTGTTTGTTTAAAAATGTTGAAGAGAATAATTTTTGTGTATTTCATGTATATAAACCTAATATTCGACAATGAATGCTGTTGAAGCTTGTTTACTTATTATTGACACCTGTTACCCTTCATGAAGCATAGGCCACCGACCAGCAGCATTCTTCAACCTACTCTTTCGTGGGCATTGTTTTGCAGTTCTACCCAATCGCCGTTCAGTCTTTTCATGTGTGCCTCCGGTTCTCGTAGTAATTGTTTCTGTGGTCTTTTTATTTTCCTTGTGACCTTTGAAGAAACTCCGTCGCCATCACGAGGCTTCATAACTCTTCTATAAATGGAAGAGCTAACTGCCAGGACAGTTTGAATGATTTGAATTATTTGTTCTGGTTAAGGTTTTTCCTACAGGATGGGGTTGTTAACTCCATGCTTAACTCTCTTCCTTTATGCGCAACATGAACTGATGTATTTACGTACGAAGTTCTACGTTGTAACTAACTGACTCACTCCTCGTTTATGCGGGTTTTTGACGGACAGTAACCTGAGTAGGACGTCTGGCGCTGCTGAAGATTATCAAGTTAAGGGTTGTGAGGTTAGCTACAGGGTACACTAGGTAAGGATAGCGAATCGACTAATGAGTCTTTATGAACTGACGTGGTAAAAATGTGTAATACATGTTGCCATTTGATAGTCGACCTCGGTTCATAGTGATGGCTTGTGTAGAGGATTATGTTGGAGGAATGTTTAGGACGACCGTACTTAGGTATATAGGTAAGTGCAGACTACCTGATTTGGGTGTGAGTGTTTATTGTAAGCAATTCGCGGAGACTAGTTGACATTGGCTGGAAATCGTGTACAATGGTTCAGGCATATCCATAAATAATCTTTTCTTTCTAAATTCCTTACAAAGTTGTCACAATTATTTCAAATAATTTGTATATCTTGTATGCCTTATCGTTTCAGTTATCACTTATATTATAACTATTTCTACTACTTTAGAATTTTTCCTGTCATATTTTGGGTTTTTAAACATGCCATGCTCTTTCTACATTTCTTATAAATTGACTGATTAATGATACTATTATTATTGTCAAATGTAAACTCATGTAAATGCGATTAATTCTCTGAGTTCCGATGTGAAACTGTCATCATAATCATTAGTGACGAAGATTACTTACTCACTGACGACTTGGTTCTATCTCCGACAAACTTGTGGATATGCGCTTCTGTAAGTAATTCTCACGCTAGAAAGAAACAACCTACTAGTGGTTGAATAAGTACACACAATGCAAGCTACAAAATTACCCGCCCCCTTTCCTAATAATACAGCAGATAATAGGCCTTGTTGATAATTGCAAATGTGAATGAATAAAGAAAAGCTTTCCTGGTAATTATTACATTCACATATTGAAAACAATGAATAAAGTGTTCTCTCTTATATTTTTTTTAATTCTGCCTATGATTGTTCACCACCCTACTATTAAATATTGTTTGCTGTTTATTTTTAGGACATGCGAATTGTTGAACGAAATAATATTACATTACAGTGTGTATGCTCTTATGAAATAAAAACTTTCACTGAATTTAAACAACACTATCCGAAAATATTTCCACAAAATGTTCTTTTCGAAGATTCGGAAATGTTTGCTGCAGCCGAGTATGCACGAAAAATTCGTAGTTACAGAAATATTTTCCGTGAATGCATTGTAAGTTGTGTTTGGTAGATTTTTTAAATAGAACAAAGAAATTGAATAGAATGAAGCAAAGAATTAATTCTATTCAGTGTTGTTGATTTTCTCTTGATAATTAATGATATAGAATGTGGTTGGTAAAAACACCCACTCTCAGTACTACAGGAGTTCAGTTTTAGTCATAATAACTAAATGTTTTCACTTCTAATTGAAACTGGATAGTTGGAGTTCAAATCTAACTAAGATAAAATTTACATGTTGTTGACAAGTATCACCAACTAGTAGCATGAAACCTTACAATATGATTTTGAGATGGTGGAGAAAATTTGTAGCTCAGTTGGATGGATGATTGTGGTGGTGGTGTTTGGTTCTCTGAGCTGGATGTCTCGGTTGTGGAGTGTGCCAAGCTTCTAAAAATTCTCTAGTGTTTTTTGTCCTCACCCTACCCAGTATTTCCACATTGTTCCAATCGAATGTATGTCCATAATTGTCGGTGTCCATTGATATAAGCGATGAGTTTTCGTGTCGTTTGACTGCTAATTGGTGTTGTTCAGAAGAACAATGAAAGCTCCACAACCAAAACATCCAGCTCAGAGAACCAAACACCACCACCACCACAACCTTACAATAATTTGGAATTTCCTGCCGACCTTACACTGTCAAATAAATCAATATCGAACTTCACAACATTGTAAATCATTTCTCTACATACATACACTTCATTAATATTCATATTTAATCGATAGATGTGAATTCAGTACATTTTTGATGACTGAATCGGCCAGCTTTAACACTAATCACTCATCAATAATCAATCAATGTAATTGTTCACAGTATTATTTGAAATTATTTCTAGTTCATCTGTTTTATTGTATTAAAAGTAATGATGTTGAACAACAACTACTAATTTGCAGACACATCAGCATTTTATGTTCCTGTTGATGTTTATATTCATTGCTTCATGTTTGTCTTTCTGTTTTCTCTTGTGTGTGTGCGGTGACAACAACATAGAATATATTGAAGTTGTTCACTTTGCCAGATGAAGTAATTGTGGCTAAACGAGCCTATGCAATCAATGCAGCTAAAGCTAGAGCTTGTAACAACAATCAGGTTAAAATGTCATCATCACCAGCGCCATCACCGCCGCCGCCACAGCCGCTGCCAGCAGCAGCGCCAACAACCACAATGACGACAACAACGCTACAATAACAACAACACCGACTGAACCGTCTCAATTGGACAACCAATCCACTGTGCAATCGTTTATCAGTATAAAAGAAGAAGAAGAAAATAAAGCGAAGCAAGAACTAAGAATAAATTCTACCTTATTAGATAATCATGATACTGTTGATGTTCCTCTTCCGGCTATTGTTGACAACAACGCCACCGCTACTACTACTACTCAGTCGGCATAATGATGATGACATGCATAAGTATAAAATATTTGTTCAATCAACTGAAATGGAAAATTTTTTTTCTTTCTTTATCTAACTCTTGTTTTCTGCTGCGAATTGTTGTTGAGTGTGAACAAAATAAACTCAATTTACACTTGTGCATTTATGCTATTCACATGCCTTATTGATTAATTGTATTGTCCGTAATAAAAGTAATTATATAATAGTTATGACTTTTTTGTTTGTTTGGTGATTACTATTGTTATTGTAACGTTTTTCTGTTTAGAATTAACGTCACTTGTTGTGATGATGATGATTGAGAACTCGTATTTTACAGATTGTAGCACCAGAGATTCGAAATTGTTAAGGAG